TATTCGAATAAATGGTGATTTATTCGAATAAATCAGGGTGAAAAGCCAGGACTTATTCGAATAAATGGTGGTTTATTCGAATAAAACAGGTTAATCTCAGTCACAAGAAAGATCACGACTTATTCGAATAAACTAAAAATTATTCGAATAGAAAGGCAACTTCCCCACACAAAGGCTGATCTAAAATGTGTTTTAAAGGTAAGAAGATAAGGGAATGAACCTTAGAGATGCCATACTCTTTAACACATAATCTAAGACCTAAAACACTACCCAACTAAGGAAACAACCTCTTCGGTCTCATTCCTTCAACCGATCCTCAAGTCCCTTCTTCACGGACGGATATGAACTTGTTGTAGCTTTGATTCTTAGCCTTGATGCACAAAATGATGATGATGTTTTGTCACTCTTTTGTCATTATCAAAACCTAAAAGACAATGGGCAAAGGACAATGCAAAAATACATATTCATGATAGCACATTGTCCAACAGAGTCTTCTTGTACTTCTAGTGTGACAAAGGAGCAGTTACTTTCTCCATCAGTATCTTCAGTGTCTAGTTCTTCATCACTCCAAGTTGAGGCAAATGCCTGCCTTTTCTTTTTCATGTTGTTTGCACATTCTGTTTGAATATGACCGAAACCACCACACTCAAAGCACTGTGGTCCTTTTCTCCTTGCTTCTAATGGTTGTGCCTTGAATTCCTTCTCTTTCATCGTTTTGATTTGAGAGCTTCTCTGAGGATCTTGCATGAGGACCTGTTTACCCTTTTTCTGGAGCCACCTTTTTGTAAACTGTTTGGTGAACAGTGACAGCTATTCTTGGAAGTCATCATCTGATATGACATCATCTTCAAGATCTAGATCACCCACCTGAAATGCTATTTGTTTCTCTGTCTTCTTCTTCTTTTGTTCTTCTGACATGGCCAACTCAATAGTTTCAAGATTTCCCATTAGTTGATCCAGCATCATCCTCTTCAGATCATGTGCTTGACGTATGGCCTTGGCATCAACTGAATAGCTTTCTGGTTGGGCATGCAGTACCTTTAGAACAAGATTGTCTTCTTCAAAAGGTCTTCCAAGACGTTCTGCTTCATTTGCCAAATCTCTCACTCTGCCATGGAATTCAGTGATACTCTCATTGTCTTCCATTCTAAGATTTTCAAATTTTGTCATGAGAATTTGGTATTTTGCTGTCTTGACTCTCTCATCTCCTTCATGGGTTGTCTCAAGAATCTTCCAAGCCTTCTGTGCTTCAGTGCAATTTGCGATGAGTCTGTATTGAGAGCTGTCCACTGCTCTAAATAATGCATTCAAGGCTTTGTCATTGCATTCAGCAGTTGCAGCTTCTTCCTTTGAGTATTCCTCAAATGATTTTTGGATTTTTGCATCTGATCCGTCAACTGTCTTGTTGAAACACGGGTTTATCATGTTTTCGTACTAAAGCCGTGTTCGTTTTTGTGACAGGTTTTGATAATGCCAAACCGCCGTGAACGAGACAAGTTATTGAATATACAAGGCGAGAAATAAATATAAGAAGAAAGCAAGAGAACAAGACCCAAAAGAAGACCAAGAGCGAAGACCGTAGTCTTAGTGTTGTTGAGTCGGTCATAATTGTGATCAAGACCGACCCAACCTTTACACCTTGGCTCTTTAGGCTAAAATTCTTTTCATTGCATTTCACACATCATAAAAATGTTTTTCAAACATGTTTAAAACATTAAAAACACTTGGTGTTCGCCCAAACCAAAAACCAAGCCATCCGGCGTTCGGGTTTCAGAAACCGGCGTTCGGCATTCGGTTTTCGGCGTTGGTTTTTGGTGTCCGAACCAACCAAGTGGTTTTCAACTTTTTATGATTGGTTTTTACTTCTGGGCACATTTTAATAGTTTTCCATCAAAAACACTTCAAAAACCACCTTTCGTTTTTGTCGTTTGATAAAAAC